TCCAGAGCTCAGTTTTATTCTCCCACACCTCACTACCCTCAGTCCTTTATTCTCAAGCTGAGGTGTCTGCGTCTCCCTGGTCTGCTCGGGGGGGCGCTAGCTTCGCATCTCCCTGGTCTGCTGGGGGGAAGCAGCTAGTGCGGGGTTGCCTCACCCCGTTTGTAAGTAGGGATCCGATGTAAGTCGGATCCATGTAACCCGGGGACTGCCTGTAATATGCCGAGTATGAGAGAGCCACACAAATGAGGGCACAGTCCCTGCTCAAGGTAAAAACTTAGGTCATAGTTAATGAGCTGGTAGATCCCAAATAACTGTAAATGATGAGAAAATGCATTATTCTTGAGTGCGTATGCTAAAATAGCAGCCAGGAAACTGTGATATGGGTAGCAGCAGAGACTGGCCACTCAAGTGCAACCCAGCAAGTCAGGGAGACTTATATTTGAGCCACTCACCAAAGTATGTCTGCAATGTAGATGTACTCTTTGGGACATAGCTATTGCTATTTATTTTATGTGTTGTGCACTCAGGAACTCCAAGAATGTATAACAAAACCTAAAATAGAATAGATGGATAAATTTTCTAGACACAATACGAACATCCTTGTCCAGATGTACCCAATCCTGATCCCAAGCCAAGGCGATGGCAAAACACCCCTTCACTTTAATTGTGCTGGATTGTGCAGGAGTCCATTGTATAAAAAGGCGCGTCTTCTTTTGCAGTTAGTAATACTGATTAAAATGAAATCAATTTAAATAATTTATTTTAATTGTAATTTAATCAGCAAGCAGGAATCCTTGATTGATTTTAATTGTGTTTTGAATTTGTATTTTTTTAGTTATATTCCTAAAGAAAGGTTGATTCTCATTGCTTGGTAATCATTACAGCATGATGATTTGCAATAAAATATACCCTTTTATACTAAGTGTGGTACATCTTTTTGTTACTCAACACTATATATACATTTAGTTAAGCAATTATATAACTTAATTTACATCTATTCAGATTCTTAATTTTTGTAATTTTTATTATGTTAGGAAATGGTGACTGCATTTTTTATTTAATATATGTTTACTTGGTTATATATCAAGCTCTATTTGGATGTTAAATCTAATTCAATTAAGGATGCACAAAAGTAACATTTAAATTTTTAATTTAATGAGACAGCTTTAACTATTCTGGATACTAAAGAAAAATATCAAAAAGCTTACAGGAAATGTTTTGTATGTAAAATGAACTAGTTTATTAAACAAAGGAAGTATATCTGAAGTTAGTGGAGCGAAGTAACTGTTTCTGGCCACCACATTCTTCAACATTTCAGAACTAGTAGAGCTCTCACACCTAACTTTTATTCATAGATTGGAAGACGAAAACAAGCTTTTTTTTTTCCCCCCAACTCCCAATGATAGGGTTTTTTAAAACTTTGAATAAACCAGTCTTTTAACTGAATGAGCTGAATAAATGGAAATGAAGAATATACTGTCTCTATGCCTATAGATCAGTGGTTCTCGAACTATGGGTCAGCACTCTAAAGTGGGTCATGTGGCCCCTTTTGAATGGGGTTACCACGGCTGGTTTAGGCTTGCTGGGGCCTGGGTCTGAAGCTGGAGCCCCACTGCCCAGTGCCAAAGCTAAATCTTGAGGATTTCAGCCCTGGGCATCAGGACTCAGGTTACAAGCACTCTGCTCAGGGCTGAAGCCCTTGAACTTCAGCTTTGGCCCCTCTGCCCAAAGTGGGGGGTCTTGAGCTACTTTGCTCCCCCCTCCCTACCCTGGTCTCACATTTCAGTCCCCTCTCATGGGGTCATGAAGAAATATTTGTTGCCAGAAGGGGACTGCAATGCAATGAATTTTGAAAATCCCTCCTATAGAGGAAGCTACCGCTATTAAAACAGGATTAAAACTTCAACAAACTCTGATTCCAGGTGCTTAGCCAGTGATTTCCACAATTTACTTGTCTGGCTCTCTGTAAATATGTCTGAAAACATAACTTACTTAATATTATTTTTGTACTTAATTTAATTTTTTTCATCTATTATAATAAATTTAGGTCATAACCTAAATTGTCATTTTCATATTTAATTTTTAATAGGTTTATTTTTTCTATGGAAACCTATGTTTAAATTAAAAAATCTAATTTGAATAAGAAACTGATTTTAAAAAAAAATAATTTTTATCTGTGCTGAGATTGACCGATGTAACTTCTGAATTGCTGGCTCCATCCCCATCCCTAAAAAGACGTAAAAAATGCAAAATCCAGTAGAGAGGAGAGGAGAGGAGAGGAGGAGACCACCCTTTTTTCAGGAAGTGGAATACAGGGCTGTTGTTTGTTAATACTCCTGTGATACTTTTTTCAGGCATTCAGAACCATAGTTCACTGTGGTGCCCTCCTCCTCTGGGAGAGAGACCTGCTGATTCTAATCTGAGTGACAGCTTGTCACACAAGTCTGTTTGCTTCCTTGAAACTCTGCTAGACCGCACTTTGCCTTACAGAGTAATGCTTGCTGTATCCCAGTTCTCCCACTTCCCAGATGTGTTCCCTTGTAGTGGCCAACTCCTGGCACTGGACACTCACAATAATTCCCACTGCCTCAAGAGACCTTAGTGCACACTTACTTATGGAGTAATAATAATGGAAACAGTGATGTTACAAATAAAACAAAAGCATAACAAGCTTCTATGAGACTAATCATAGTTTTTAACGGGCTAAAATCATTGCTGAAGATAAGTTTCTCACCTAAAGCAGCCTCTCAGCATCCTCAGATCCCAGGATGAGGATACAACTTTCATAGGTGCAAAAAGCCCAGGGGTTCTTTTAATTTCTTTTTATAGTCCAGCAAGCTTCGGAAAGGGATAGTTTTGGAGTACACCCTCAGTTAAGGTCCTTTTTCCATCCTGTCTATGGTTTAGTGTGCTGATGCTATGCAGTTTTCTCATCCTATTAACTTGTTCTTCCAGTTTCTCTCACATCACAGATAAAAATGCCTGTAGGACATTTCAGCAACTCTTATCAGATTTCCATGCATCATAATACATAACATATACATGAATTAAGCCTGAAAAATCTATCATGGAATTTTAGTGACAGCCATTCAAACTTCATTCTCATTATTTTTGTTGCTCTCATGCTTGATCTTTTGACAGAATTGCATTTCTTAGTATTATGTCTGTTGGATCTAAGAATTCAGAAACGATACAGTCCTTTCATCTACTGTTGAGAGCTTGCAGTGTTTGAAAAGCTCTCAGCATTAGGCATTGCAGTTCACTGGTAATTTTAGATGACTGCCATAAACGAACGAACGAACGAACGAACGAACGAACGAAAGTCACTGCCCATCTCAATAGAGCAGGTTAAAAATGGGGGAGAAGAGGAGAGGAGAGAATTCTAAATTTCAGGAATGATTCCATTTTTTATTTCCATTTTGGTTCTTTTGTTTTTTGTGTGAATTTTTAAAATCAAAAGCTTAATGTAAATTTTTATCAAACATATTACAGAAATTATTATAATTTTTTTTCATTTTCCAAAATAATAGCTTTCAACTTCTTGTTCTAAACATCTGTCAGGCTTAATTCTCACAAACACCACAATGGGAAAAGACACATGCCTTTTAGTAATTTTAAGAGGAATAAGGGATCTTTCGGAAAAGGCTTTATTTTCCGAAAGATCCGCGTCTAGACTGGCGCTTTTTTCCGGCAAAGCTCTGAGCCGGAAAAAAGTAGCAGCCATGTTTATGCAAATGAAGCGGTGGGGGATTTAAATCCCCGCTTCATTTGCAATTGAGATGTGTCCAATTTGCATCCCTTTTACGGAAAAGGGATGCAGTCTAGACACAGCCTAACTGAGAGCAGAAGTTATCCTCAAATCACCATGGGAATATTCCACCTGCAACTTTTCTTTTCCTCTCTAAATGTAATCCATTGCTTTACATGTTCACAACCATGAGTATGGTAACTATGTCTATATCAGTTATAGTGGTGCTTGTGTACAATGGTTCTTTTACAAATGATGTGTGTGGGGTTTTTTGTGAGCATATAAAACACAAACCCACAATTTTTCTAAGGGTTAGATTGTGTCAACCTTATTCAGATTGAGTACAGGTTGAACCTCTCTAGTCTAGCACTCTCTGGTATGGCAATATAAATGGTCTTCCATGATTTTAGTTAGCTGGATGTTGACTTATCATGGATGTGGCTAAGTTCCCTGCAATCCTATAAAGTTTGTTTACAGCCACCAGTCCTGGCTCTCAATGTTCTGTGCTATTATTTAGCTCCAACTTACCCCTAAATGTCTTCTATGAGCCTAGTAAGCAGAGGAAATGTTGGTAATGCTGCTAGAAAATATTGACCTCCTGTGGTTTGGCAAATTCATTCTGCACTAGTCAGGTCCCAAGGGTGCCGGACTACAGAAGTTCAACCTGTAGTAACTTTCTCCTTGTGTGGCCATTTGAAATCAGTGGCTAGCAAAGTATGGTACGGAAAGTTGATTTTGTAATTTCTGAACACTGCTATGACAATACACCAATAAAAATTAATGCAAATTATTCAATTATCCTACTGCTTAGTGCAATGAACTCCTTTTTGGATGTTGTATGTATTGCTATCGAAGCAGCCATTTCAATGGGGTTCTAAAATTTAGTGTTGTTATGAATACATATGAGCCCTCAGAAATTGCTCATTAATCTTTATCTTCATTACCTACAAATGATTCCTTCAGGATGATCACATCAGGATGACATTCATTGTGATGCAGACTTCATAAACAAATGCATTCCCAGGACAAGGGCACTGATTTGCTAAGTGATTGGCTAATTTGTGTGCTCTTATTTTAAAATCTTTTACCAATTTCCTAATAAATTTTGTCTTAGAAATTTACCCAAATCATTCTTTAATTACTTCTGAAAAACTCCCATTTGTGTAAGTAGGAATAAAATGACCAGCATTTGTTGCATATGTGCATTTAACTTTGATGGATTCAGGTCTGCAGCTTTCATTTTCATTTGCAGGATGTGTTGGAATTTGGGATAACATTACGTGTTGGCGCCATGCTAAAATTGGAGAGACTGTCACTGTCCCTTGTCCAAAAGTATTTAGCCACTTTTTCAGCAAATCAGGTATTTTGTTTTAAGTTATTTTGTGTAACTAAACTGACCCCCCTCCCAGAAAAACCTCACATACTGCATGGTTCACCTAAAACCATTTAGCTGAGTGAAATCTATTCTGTGTCAACTGCATATTTGCTCATGTACTGTAAATTGTAAAAGCATGTATTTAGTGTTTAGGATGTTGTCTTATTTTTAGAGAGAGAAAAATAAGCCTTCTCAATGGCACCAATAAGAAAGTATGAGATACGATCATGGAAGCACTAAACGAAGCGTACTGATTATCCAAATTGAATTTGTTTCTAGAATTTCAGATTTCAGTAGATGCATCAACACTGACCAAGCCTAAAAGCCCAGCTGTGTTTGTCCTGACTAAATCAGTCATAATCATCACCTGGATGCAGCTCTTTTAGAAGCTAGTTCACTGCCTTTGTGCCAAAGGCAGTCCCCATTTGTCTGTGTGAAAGACTCCCCTGTACTATGAAATGCATGGAACAATACTACAGCATTTAGAAAAATTAATGCCACTGGGAGTTATTTGGGCTTATAATCAACTTCATGTCATTTTTTACCATAACCAGAAAGACCCATCTTATTTTCTTAGCCCAGTTGCTAGGAGGCCTAGCTTAGCAGGTAATATCCAGTGTCACGTTTATCACGAGTTTAATTTCTGCAACACAGCTGGTCAGTGCTATTTATAATATTACATAATGCTTGCATGTAGGTTTTCACATGTAGCTCTCATAGTGCTTTGCAAAGTAAGTATTATTTCCACTCATTTTTCTGGTAGAGAAACTGTGGCATGAAGTTATATAACTGTCCCAAGTTCACATAGTAAATCACAGATCCAGGAATAGAACCGAGGTTCTAGTGTCTGGCTACGTCCAGACTGGCATGATTTTGCGGAAATACTTTTAACAGAAAAGTTTTTCCGTTAAAAGTATTTCCGCAAAAGCATCCGTGCCAGTATAGATGCGCTTTTGCGCAAGAAAGCTCCGATAGCCTGATGGCTAAAATGGCATTCTTGCGCAAAAAATTAAGGTGCCTGTCTACACTGGCCCTCTTGCGCAGGTATTCTTGCACAAGAGGGCTTATCCCTGAGCAGGAGCGTCAAAGTATTTGCGCAAGAAGCACTGATTTTGTACATTAAAGTCAGTGCTCTTGTGCAAATTCAAGCGGCCAGTGTAGACAGCTGGCAAGTTTTTGCTTGCGCAAAATCTTGCCAGTCTAGATGCACCCTCTTAGTTTGGTGCTCTATTCATTGGACTGTATTAGCCAGTCAGGCTTTAGAAAATGGCAGATTCAGTAAGGAAAAAGTTCTGTCTCTAGGGCTGTGTCCAGACTCCATGCCTCCGTCGACGGAGGCATGTAGATTAGCCAGCTCGGAAGAGGAAAATAAAGCCGCGATTATTTTAATCGCGGCTTCATTTCCCTCTTCCGAGCTGGCTAATCTACATGCCTCCGTCGACGGAGGCATGTAGATTAGCCAGCTCGGAAGAGGAAAATAAAGCCGCGATTATTTTAATCGCGGCTTCATTTCCCTCTTCCGAGCTGGCTAATCTACATGCCTCCGTCGACGGAGGCATGTAGATTAGCCAGCTCGGAAGAGGAAAATAAAGCCGCGATTATTTTAATCGCGGCTTCATTTCCCTCTTCCGAGCTGGCTAATCTACATGCCTCCGTCGACGGAGGCATGGAGTCTGGACACAGCCTAGGAAGGAGGAAGGAAGGTCAAAAAAGGGTCAAAAATAGATCTTCTCACAGTATTTTACTGGTGTAACATCATCTGTTGGTGTCTCATGGACATGCAACTTGGTAGGAAATATGAAAGTGGGTTGTAATCAACATGCAGGGAAAAGATTATTTTCACATAACATATTCCTGTAAAGTTTTCTGTTGGATATCAAGAATCTCCAAGAGGATATCATGGTACCAAAATTCCATAACTGAAAATAGCTTTTCAGTGACTTCAGTTGTGGCTGTTCCAAGAAAACACATGTAGTAGGAAAACCTGATCTATCTGGTACCTGTCCATGGGATTAAGGATTAGAGATGGGCCATTGGTTGCACAAACTAAATACAAATTAGAATAAGCATAAATTTAGAATTCTGAGATGGAGACAATTTCTTTTAGCTCAGCTATGTTCAGAATGCTAAGCAACAATTATAATGCTGTTCTTTACCCAGACTCATAAAATGTGTAAAACTTGTTTGGGATTTTCTTCTGGCTCAGATTTATCATTCAGACAAATCAGTTTGATAGGGAAATAATTCAGTACACTGCATGCTTATCCCCCCCCCCAAAACAGTGAAATGCAGCCTGCTTTCCAAGGCTAGGTCTACACTACCAGGTTATTATTATGAAATAGTTATTTTGGGAATTATTATTTCAAAATAAGTTATTTCAAAATAAGCATATTCCTCTTCACAAGCAGGATTTATTATTTTGAAATAATCCCAATATTTCAAAATAATGGGCTTAGTAGTGTGGACACTCACCAAGTTACTTCAAAATTTCCCAGTGTAGACATGCCCCAAGTGGCTATTGCTCAATAGCCCACAACAACACTGCACAAAAGAATACTGAATAAAGAAAATTCTGCATGCAACTGAACCTATCTGAATTTAGGGGGGTCAGAATATGGTTTCTGAATTAGGAATTTGGTCAAGCCACTATAACTCCTCTACTTTTGAAAAAAGTGACATGAGGTCTTTAATTATTACAATTGCTCTGTACCTCTAATTTGAATGTTTTCCAAAAGATGACATTTCATATGACACAGACCCTGCTAAAACTGATTGGAGATGTAAAAGAAAGCCTGTTCTCACAAGATTCCTGAAGGGCTGCTGACTCAGAAGTTGAGTTACACTCTCAAAAGCTTATTTGAGTTAGTCCTCACATTTCTTGTCTGAACCTATTGTGATGAAGCTTCTAATTTCACATAGTGGGTCCTGTGCTTTTGGGCAGTGGTGGGTTGAGTATTGTCTCTTCCTGTCTTTGGAAATTGGCAACTCTAATTGCTTAACTCAGTGGTTCACTACAGCTCGGTCTAATCCCTTTACTTAAGAGGCAAGCCATAGTCTGATTTAGACATTGGCAAGGGAGTGGAAAAATGTCCTAGTCTCTAGTAGCCTCTCTGGATGTGGAAGCAAAAGACCAGATTTCTTCTCTCAATATCATCCCCTCCAGTAGGGGGTTTTTCTCCTTCAGGTTTCTTGGGCGAGAAGGAACAGTTCCCTGGGCAGGGCTCTCCCTGGTCCTCACCTCTGTACCTTCAGCGTTCCTTCCTGGTACCTGACAGCATCACTACCATTCCACATCCTCCTCCCAATGCTCCTGAGTGCCACTAAACTGACTAAAAGGGAGGCTTTTAACCAGTTCCAGCTCCAGGAGTCCCAATCAAACAACTATCTCAACTGGTTCTAGCAGAGTCTAGATTAACTCCAGGTGTATTAATTAACCTGACTGCTTCAGCTGAGTTCTTGGAGGTTCTTAATTGACACCAAGTGTCTTAATTCAAAGATTGGTTCTGAGTGTGGGCTTCTAGTTTATCACAGATAAGGGCCATGTTTACCACTTTATAATTGACAGAGGCCAGATGTCTTGTCATGCTTGAGTTAACACAAAAGGATTCCCTTTTCATCCCCTCTTGAATTATAGGTATGGAGAATAGATGGAAGTCCCTGAAGTTTTTCTGTATTGTGGTCTTTTTCCTCCTTCCTGCCTCTGCACATAGTTTGTGAAGGCCTTTAAAATGCATTATGTGCTAAATCAGAATTTGCTCTCATCCAGATGCATGTTCATCTGTCTAATATAGACATTCATCACTGTATATGCAAGCACTTCAATAATTATTTTTTAGATCACTTCATATCACCTGCTCAGAAGATCTTAAATAATAGTTTAGATTAATCAAGGTTTGTATAGAGCCATTTTTATTCAAATTACTTGTCCATCAAATTTGCTTAAAAGTGACAGGTAATAAACTCCCTTCAGAGTAATTTCAACAAAGCTACAAAATCTTTCAGGCTGTTTCTGGTGAAATGCTTCATGTTCGATGGTAGGAGGCATGATATTGCAACTTTGTATGTGTGTTTCATTAGCATAGCAAAGATATTTGGTATGATTCAGTGCCTAGAATAAATGTTAAATCAATATGTGCACATGAATGGAAATATGTGGGATTGATTAATGACAGTGCTGGGGCACAGAGTAAGTTAATGGACTGGATTCACAAAAAGGTACATTTTTATGAAGTGTTGCTTTAAGGCCTGTTGGTTAGGAAGCATTACATTTCTGAACTTTGTTTTGCAGGAAATATTAGCAAAAATTGTACAAGTGATGGATGGTCAGAAATGTTTCCAGATCTCATAAGCGCTTGTGGTTATAATGACAATAATGATGATAGTAAGGTAAGAAAAAGTTATTCTCGTCATTCAGATGCAGATGTTCAAAAGAATTTCATAGATTCCAAGGTCAGAAGAAACCCTTATGATCATCTAGTCCTGGATAACACAGATCATAGAGCTTCCCCAGAATAGTATCTCAAGCATATCTTTTAGAAAAACATCCAAACTTGATTTTAAAATGGAGAATCCAGCATACCCCTTTGTAAAGTGTCCCAGTGCTTAATTACCTTTACCAATAAAAATGTACATCTTATTTCCAGTCTGAAATTTTCTAGTTTCAATTTCTAGCCAGTATTACTGGTGCTGTACTTGAAACTATAGGACCACATTCGGTTCCCAAATGCATATATGCACTCTGAAATCTACAGGAATTGTGTACACAGGTTTGAAAGTATAGATAATTTTTTGAGGTGTCAGAAGGGTAGCTGTGTTAGCCTGCATCAACAAAAACAACAAGGAGTCCTGTGTCACCATAAAAACTAACAGAGTTGTTTGGGTATAACTTTTGTGGTTAAAGACCCACTTCATCATCTTTGCCCACGGAAGTTTATGCTCAAAGAAATCTTTTAGTCTTTAAGGTGCCACGGGACTTCTTGTTGTTTTTCACTGAGTTGAAATTCTTATCTAAACTAAAGGTACATGTACACTTAGAGTTGGGGGCTGATTTCTATTTTAGGAGACATAGTGTCCTGCCGTTAGGACAGGGGACTGGACTTGATGACCTCTCAAGATCCCTTCCAGTTCTAGTATTCTATGATTCTATAATACTTGTGCTAGCTTGATGAACAATAAAATGTAGCTGTGACAGCACATGCTGTGGGAGGGTCTAGCCACCTGGGTACATACCCCTATGAGACCGTAAGCATGTAGTCAGGGTCCATCCTGCCACTGTCACTACATATTATTTTTAACATGCTAACTCGATGAGAGCTAGTGCAAGAACATCACCTTGATCTGGGAGTCACAACTCCAACTCAAAGTGTAGGCAGAAAAGTAGAAGTATAAGGGTTCCCAAACCATAATGCTCTAAATCTAGTCATTATTTCTATTATAATCATGATTATTTATTATTTGTATTACTGTAATATGCAGTATTATATGAACATATTAGACAAACATCTGTCAGAAATGGACTAGTTATTGTATAGAGCTGCCTGGAGTACAGGGGACTGGACCATATGACCTCTTGAGGTCCCTTCCATTCATACATTCCTATGATTCTAGGGTGTTTTATCTCCGTTTCTTTAGTGGTTACTCCCAGTTGGGGTGAGAACTTATCTTTTATACTACAGAAGGAAAAAGGCACATTTATATTGAATGGTTGTCAATTTGTTGTAAAAAATTTAAAGGATTAGCAAAGAAATATTGAATTGGTATTTAATAAGAAGGTGGCAAACTGTTCAGGTCATTAATGATCTGATGCAGAAAGTAGATTATCACCTAAAGCTTCCATTATGTTTCATTGTCAATTTCCTAAACAGAACAAATTCACTGAGCTTGCTAAGGTGTTGAGGGGTTTGATCCAATTCCCAATGAATTAACTGGGGCTGCATCTAGACTGGCATGATTTTCCGGAAATGCTTTTAACGGAAAAGTTTTCCGTTAAAAGCATTTTTGGAACAGAGCGTCTAGATTGGCACGGACGCTTTTCTGCAAAAACACTTTTTGCAGAAAAGTGTCCATGCCAATCTAGACACACTTTTCCACAAAAAAGCCCTGATCGCCATTTTCATGATCAGGGCTTTTTTGTGCAAAACAAATCTGAGCTGTCTACACTGGCCCTTTTGTGCAAAAGCTTTGCGCAAAAGGGACTTTTGCCTGAACGGGAGCAGAATAGTATTTCCGCACGAAGCACTGATTTCTTACAGTAGGAAGTTAGTGCTTTTGCGGAAATTCAAGCAGCCAGTGTAGACAGCTGGCAAGTTTTTCCAGAAAAGCGGTTGATTTTCTGGAAAAACTGGCCAGTCTAGACACAGCATGGGAGTTTTTGTATTGACTTTAATGAAAATTAGTTTGGGCCTTAACCTGTGCCACTTGTATTAAGGATCATCTTATTGTCACTTCACGAAAACAGGAAACTCTCAACTTGAATCTTTTAAATGAATGAAAATAAACATTTCTGATTCTGCATGGCTGAAATACATGTCCTTATTTTTTAAAAACCCCACTACAAGATGGTTTTAGTGAGGGAGCAACTGACTGAGTTAACCCTGATCTTGCTATTAGATCTGCGCCCAACCTCTGCACCCTGGTGAACATCGATTGGTTTCAGTTGGGCTCCACACAGAGCCAGGGATCTGCAACCATGAATCTGATTCAAGGATGGTGGCCTAACATGGCCTTTCAGGGGAAACAATGAAACTTTCTACCCACAAAGCACTGTTAAATTTACAAAGATGTTACATAATGTTTTATTGCTAACTTCTTCCAGTAACAGAAATCTTTGACCCAGGAGTACAATTTTGGACAGGACAGAAAACAATTTTTCAAATTGATTATCTCTTTTATTCTATCATATATTTCCCAAATAAAATGACCAATGGAATGCAAAAGAAAATAAATATGAAAGTCTATAGGGTAAAAGGAGTTTTGGTATTTTTTCAGGAGACATCAAGAAATGTGATCATATCTAAGATACAAGTTATTTGCTACAATGATACTTTCTCTTTTGTAAAGAGATTGGAGTAAAGATCAGGTATTTACATAGCTGGCCAGCATGCACAGCTTGATGATGTAGGGCCCTCAGATGCATGGAAGCAACTTCATTCACTTCCATTGCAAGTTTTTGGCATCTGAGGTGCAGAACTTGACCATAAGGATAGAAGTTTCAAGTTTTCAATTTTCATTTAAAAATACATTAAATAATAAATGTAACAACTGCCATTTATCATACTTATTGAGAATTTATGTAAATCAATAGTGTTCAAGCTGAGCTCATCTAAAAAATGCTTGTTACCAAATTTACTGAATGCATGTAGTAACAAAATAGAAAGCATCGGGGAGAATGTTTGCTAAAGTACAGTTCTCTCATAACCTACACACAAAAGTAGTTTTGAAGAAAATAATGTCAACTTGATTCTCTCATTTGCATTTGATTTATACTGCTATAAATCTCAAGTGCCATAGAGTAACTTTTGATCGGCAATAAGATAGGAGAATCTGGCCCTGTATCTTGCTAACAGTCAGAGTTTAATTTAAATCTCTTACAGTATTTAGTTTCTAGTCCCCATAATATATGTGAACTATCAACCTTCAAGAGCCTGAGAGATTCAGTTCCAGATGCTACTTCAAGCATCCATGATTTTATTCCTTTTTTTTCCTTTGAGTATTTGTATTGGGTTTTTAGTTGGTATAAGAGAAATAGGAATAACTGGGCTTCTCTATATGAGAAAAATGGGTCCAGGATAGAGTGAGTTATGTTGAATAAGCTGGACCTTGTTACAACCCTTTCTGAAATGTGGATGTATTTCAGTAGCTTTTATCTAAATTCAATAGGTCAAGGTGTACCCAATGGGTACATCTACACAGCAACATTATTTCAAAATAACTAGCATTATTTTAAAATAGTGTCAAAATACTGTCAAACTGGAGGACTTCTTACTCCGACTCCTGTAACCCTCGTTGTACAAGGAGTAAAGTAGGTCAGAGAAAGAGGGCTTTTCTCGAAATAAGTGCTGTGTAGATGCTCCCAGTTTCGAAATAAACTATTTTAAAATAAGCTACGCAATTGACGTAGCTTAAGTTGTATCGCTTATTTTGAGTTAAGCCCTGCTGTGTAGACGCATCCTAGGCTCCCTCCTAGGATGTTTTGCACATTGCCAAGACCCTGCCATATGGCAAAGCACAAGCTGGTCAGTCTTGCTAAAAGGCATTGAAATTCATCCGCATAAAGGAAAAAGTGAGTAAGTGATCACACACCTGAACTTGAATCTATTTTTCTAGATTGGGCAAGTCTTCTCTATCTAAAGAGATCTCCACACTGCATACCACTGGCTGTGGCATGTCGGGTATATGTGGCTACACACTGCAATGAAAAGCAGTTTTCATCTACGCTGTGGTGTCCAGCTTCACATGGTAATAAATAGCTCTGGCAAAGGGAAGCAGCAGAGAAAGGCTTTGGCATCAGGGAGCTGCCCGGGGCCCTTTATCTATTGCTTCCCATGGCCAAAGCCTTTCCCCATTGCCAGAGTCTTTCATTGTAGCAGAGAAAGCCTTTTACAGCTCCCTATGGGGAGAAAGATTCCAGCAGTGTGAAGACTGTGGGCTGCTAGAAATTGAAGTGTGGATGGGGGAGACCTTACTGGGGTGTGTAGAGAACTGGCTTGGGTATATTCCTGAAAGGAGGGATGGCCAAACGTTGGCCTGAGGGCTGCATCTGGGTATGGCTCTCAAGGGAGGCTGTAGGAGACGGGAAGGGGACTGGGCACACTGGCACAGGAGGGCTGGGTTCTGATCCCAGAAATAGAGTGGTAAAGTCGTGCCTGTGGAGTGTGGCACTCTGTGTGCCAGAAGATAGTGGAATTGTGATTTGGGGACAGGGAAGCACTAGGCAGGCAGAACAGGTCAGGCCCCCAACTCCACTCCCTGTGGGAGCTGAAGGGCCAAACAGAAAGGTTTGATGAGCTAGATGCAGCCCACGGGTCATAGTTTGCCCCCTCCCCCTCCCCTGCCATAGGTTCAGACATGTCTGTACTTGTTTTTGCCTGAGCAGTGTCTCACCCAGCTTGCCCCCCAGCAGTGGTTTAAATAGCAGCATTGATGGTATGTGGTCTACACACTGCCATAAGAGGGGTACGCAGTTTAGATGTACCCCAAGACAAAATAGGGGAATACAAATGAAATATGGGTAATGCAGTTTGATGTGCATTTGTAGGACCATATGCTGGTGTCTGCACATAGCTAGGAAATTAATGCAAGGCATAACACAGTTTTCAAGTAATATGAATGTTTGGTACCAAGGTAACTTAGGATGTTTCTTTCCATTTCTGATGCTCTTTGACTAA